TGGGTGGGTAGGTGGATGGATGGGTAGGTGGATGGATAGGTGGGTGGGTGAATGGATTGATGGATGGGTGTGTGGGTAGGTGGGAGGATGGGTAGATGGATGGATGGGTGGGTAGATGGCTAGATGTGTGGGTGGATGAATGGGTGGATGGATGGATGGATGGGTGGATGGGTGGAAGGGTTGGTGGATGGATGGAATACCATCTGTAGACACAGAAGCTGACCTCAGCATGGCTAACTCACTTGTCCACATAAGTTGCACAGTGGGCACTACAGAGGTAACCAAGCTCAGGCTCCTGTGGTATCCCACACTCTTAACTCTGCCACCTCTAAGAGGCCTGGCTCCACCATGGTCCATGGCTATTTGGAGGAGTGCCCCTATGTGAACATGGTGGCCAGGTAAGTGTGGGGACCCCTGTCCCTGCAGCATGGCTCCATTCCACCCAGCAATGACCAGAACCCACCCCTACTCCCTCCATTCCACTCACAGAGAATGATGAGTGAGACCACGAGGGCGATGAGGAGGAGGACACATCCAATGAGTGGCAGCTGCTTCTTGCTCTCCTGCCAGGATAACTTGGGCAAGCCGAGACCTAGGAGCAGGAGAGCAGGGAGAGTGAGACAGTGGGAGAGGAGTCTGGGGAGGTGAAGGAGGGAGAGGAAACAAGGCTGACTGAGAAGGGCTCCATTAGGGCCTCTGTAGCCAGAACAAGCTCTGCCTTTGCCTACACCAACCCTCTGATGGAGCTCCCCCTCTGGGCCAACCAGAACACTGTGCATGTGTTTTCTGATTCACTCTCACAACATCCGTATGAGCTGAGTCTTACGAGGCCAATTTATAGAGGGAGAAAGTGAGCTTCATGAAAATAAGATAAGGTGCCCAAGGCTGGCGTGTAGCAGAGCAAGGACTCAGATGCAATGTATCTGATTCCAAAGCTTGCCTTACGAAAGGGCCTCACTGCTCCTATAACAGCAAGACTGGGATGTGCCCCAAGCCTTGATGTCAAGGCATGTACTAGGCCTGTGTGTTTTGCTGTGGGGTCCAATGTTCAGAATAAATGAAAAGAATTTCTCTTCTAAGGGCAGAACCCTGAGGACCACTGGCTTTCCTGACTTCCTACTGGCTGAACCAGGCAACCTAGAGTTTGGAAGTTTGGGATGAAGATGCCTGCCTGGTGTGAATCACTCCCTTTCCTCCCCCACACACTGTTTCATTGGTCCTTGTTTCTTCTTCCCATCCCTTCTTTGCTTCAAATTTTCTACTCTTTTGGGTTTTATTCTGTGGCAGATTCTTTCTACCCTCACCCTTCACTAAGTCCCTCAAAGGCCACCCCAGCCATCTCCCCATCATTGTCCCAAGGACAAAAGGAGCAGAGTGCCAGCTGAGATCTCCCCTTGCTCATGGACTGCTGCCCTGTTTTTCTGGCCTCTCCCTCCAGAGCCCCCTCACCTAGGCTCTGCCGACTGGTCCTCGTGGCTGCTGCTGACCTGGCAGGAGATGCCCGGATCGGAACAGCAACTGGCTTTGCTCTAACAAGATATGCTTTTGTTGGGGAAGATGTCGTGGAGGCTGACTTGGCAGATGAAGACCTGCTAGATGATGATCTGGAAGAGGATTTCCAGGTAGAGGAAGCCTGGGCTGGAGATGTCCGTGCAGGGGAGGCCTGGGCTAGAGGTGTCCTTGCCAGTGAGGCCTGGGCTAGGGGTATCCGTACAAAGGAGGCCTGGGCTGGAGGTGTCTGTGCAGGAGAGGCCTGGGATGGAGGTGTCTGTGCAGGAGAGGCCTGGGATGGAGGTGTCTGTGCTGGTGAGGCCTGGGCTGGGGGTGTCCGTGCTGGTGAGGCCTGGGCTGGGGGTGTCCGTGCTGGTGAGGCCTGGGCTGGGGGTGTCCGTGCTGGTGAGGCCTGGGCTGGGGGTGTCCGTGCTGGTGAGGCCTGGGCTGGGGGTGTCCGTGCTGGTGAGGCTTGGGCTGGAGGTGTCCGTGCAGGGGAGGCCTGGGCTGGAGGCGTCCGTGCAGGGGAGACATTCTACAAACAGAATGAAGAGTATCCATCAGGCTCTTCCTGCCAGGCCACCTGGCTGTGGGCCCTACTAAGCTTTAGAATAATGCTCTGGGGCAGGTGACTGTGGGAGATGGACAAGAAGTATGTAAGAAGAGCATGAGCCAGGATAGAATGAAAGCTCCAAGAGCCTACTTGCCCCATGATCCCCTGCAGTGTCCCCCTCCCAGGGCCTGCATGGGAGGGCAGAGGGCCCCAGTCATCTGCCCAGACTCTGGGAGCAGCTGCTCAGGGCAAGAGTCAAAAGAAGGAGCTTGCATTCTGCACACTCACCCTGTACTCGGATCCAGGAAATGGGGTCCCTGGGGGAGGGGAGCCATCCCTCTGCCCTCATTCTCTCCACTGCCCTTTTCCTTCATGGATGTGCACTGGTTGTAAAGTATCGCTCTTATTCCAAGCATTGCCAAGTTGAAACGTATTGCTTAAGGAGAGCCGTGGGCGGCCTTGCAGTCTCCTTTCTCAGTAACAGAGAATCCCTGCACACATGCACACATGGATGCACGCACACACTTGGATGCACGCTTCCACACTCACCCCCAGTCCATCGGGAAACCTGGAAAGACGAGCTACAGGGAGAGAAGAAGGTGCATGGGCTGGGCTGTGACTCGGCCACACACAGACACGATCCTTAACCTTGCCCCCTTCAGATGGCATGATATATTAATATACATTTGCGGTGTGAGTTTATGTGCAAAGACAACATAATGACCTCTAAGTGACTTAGCTGTATTCATTTGTTTCATCCTTTTACGCACACCCATGTTTATTGTGGCACCGTTTATAACAGCTAAATCTTAAAAACAGCCCAAATGCCCATCAACCTATGAATGGATGGAGATATGGGCTTTTCTTTTCTTTCTTTTTTTTTTTTTTTTTTTTTTTTGGCAGAACCGGGGATTGAACTCAGGCCCTTGTGCTTGCCAGGCAAGCACTTATTCTACTGAGCCATCTCCCCGGCACCCCCCCTTTTTTTTAAAACATAAAACGGAGTACTACTGGTCCATAAAGAAGGGTAAGCTTGTGACATTTCAGCTAAACAGACACACCCTGAAGCTGTACTCTTAAGTGAAACAAATCAGACATACATGCATGAATGTCACTTTGTTTCTCTGGTGTGAAAAACAGAAAATGTAAATAAGGACCAAAATGTACAATAGATATCATACAATAGGAAGAAAATAGGAAAGGGAACTAGGGAGGAGAGATGGGGAAAGAAAGGAAGGGAAAAGAAAAAAATATTGAGACAGGAGAAAAAAATGGAAACAAATCTTCTATAAATAAGAAGTGGGGTCTGGGTAAATAGCTCAGACCACTGAGATGGCTCAGTGGTATAAGCACCTGCTGGGCAAGCACAAGGTCCTGAGTTTGATCCCTGGTACTGAAGAAAAAAAAAAAAAGCATTTGATAATAAATAAGGGCAAGAGGGGTTGAAAGGGGGAGAGGAGAATGGGGGAAAAATCAAGTTATATCATGTACAGGTACAAAGTTCTGATAATGAAAATGATCACTATGTACACCTAAAATGTACCAATCAACTTAATTAAAACAAACAACAGCCCAAACAAAAAAGAAAAAGAAAGGGAGGTAAACTCTATAGTTGTAGGTGTAGGGGGAGGCAATCCCTACACTGAAGGTAGTTACTATGTACCACAAGTGTGTGCTAATAAAATATTATTATTATATTATTATTATTATTATTTTGCAGAACTAGGGGTTGAACTCAGGCCCTTGTGCTTGCCAGGGAAGCGCTTATTCTGCTGAGCCATCTTCCCAACCCTAAAACATTATTTTAAATAGCTCCAAAAACAAACAAACGAAAACCCCTGTCAGGTAAGGACCATTATTGTCCCCATTTTGCACAGGGAGAAACAGAGGCAGAGAGATGAAGCAAATTGATCAATTTTTCAGAGCTAAAAAGTAACAGAGTTGGGGTTTGAACCCAAAAAGTGGGGCTCAGGAACACCCCAAGGAGGACTGCGTAGAGAAGGCGACCAGAGAAAGCCAGTGCTGCTCCTTTCTGAGATGCTAGACTGGCAGTGCTCCAGGTCTGGGACAGGAAGTGGTGGGCATCCACAGTCACAGGAAGGTTGTGGGCACCCCCAGCTTGCTGCCATCAGACCAAGCCTCCCTCAACCTGACACAGGTCTTGGCCCCAACTCTAACCACCTCTGCCTCTTTGGCCTTCTGAGAACCCAGAGCAGGAACTGACCTGGTGCAAAGGCCACATCGAATCCCCATTCTAATGTCTGCCGTGAACTGACTGGCCACCTACAAGGAATAATGGAGAAAGCCTCCCTGCACAGTGGCCCAGTAGTGCAGGTTGCCAAGGAGACAGAAGGCTATGGCCCCTCTGCACCTCTGCTTCCTTGCTTCATGGACCATGGTGCTTAAACCTGTGGAGCATTCCTAAGCCAACTCAAAGACTTCTTCATTAGAACATCTGGCTGTGTGAGCTCCATCATCCCAATGAAGTATAACTTTTGGATTTTGCTTTTTTTAATTCTCTCTTCTGGGAGTCAGGAATAATTTTGGGGATGTGTCCTCATTTTCTGAGGGGTTGAAAGATGAATTCAAGGAGAAATCTTGAGCTTCTGATTATACTTAGCTTGTTGGAGGAAGAGACAAGAGGGGCTCTCTTCAAGAACTTCCTCTGGTGGGTGTGGGTAACTGCTCAGGAGTGCCTGGCCAGATGAGTAGAGACACACTTGAGATGTTGAGTGCCCCAAAGGTAACCTCTTATGTCACTGACACAAGTGACCCAGAGCCAGCGTCACCATCTCATATTCATTGTCTATAGGTAGGATTTCTATAGAACAATGCCATGCTGTCCTCAATGGATCAGGTCTGAGGTCTGGGGCGAGGAGAAGTAGAAGGAGACAAGGTGTCAGATGACAGAGCTGACTTTGAAGTCAAGCGTACCCGGGTACCAATCCTGGGTCTTGTCATCTGGTAGCAGTCCTACCTTGGGCCATTCATCTACCTAAACCCATTTCTTTATTTGTGAAATAAGATTCCTCCTTAAGAAAGCTGTTCAGACCAAAAAGCTACAACTCTTGTTGCACAGATCCTGCTTTACCTTGGTCTTAACCATCCAGTAGAAAAGTATGAAGACGAAATATAGGAAGTAAAGCCATGTTGTTATGTTGAGCTGTGGGGGACTCAGGTTAATAATTTCTGACATTGCCAGTTAAACAGAAGACCCAATGCTATTATGGGCTAATGGACTCTTTTAGAATATTTTGCTGAGTTTACACACCTATAATATTCAATAAAGGAACTTAGAAAAAATGGGGCATACCGGTGAATGTCCATTTTGTATCTGTGTATTCAAAGTGGTTAGGATAGATATATAGTTGCATTCTCTTAATGAATAGAATGATTTGTTCTAATGGTGTTTGTAAATAGGATCTCAAGTCCGCATCTTGTACAGCAATTAACCACTAAGAAGAATATATGCAGTGTATTATTTGTTGAAACTGTACTTCCGATTTGATTTGAAACTGTCTCATTGCTATCTGTTTATCAATAAAATTTTGAAAAAAAAAAAAGAAAGAAAGAAAGCTGTTGCCAGCGCCTGGCACACAGAGGTGCCTTGGGAAGTGGAGGCTCCTTTTCTCCTTCAGAGCACCTAACCATGGGATGAGCACATCTTGGGGAGAGAGGGGGAGTCCAACAAAAGCTAGAGTAATGTCCTTTAGTTCGGGGGACAAGACTCCGGCATGTAAGGCTCTGCTCTGAGCTTCCTAGCAGTGGTGGCCGAAGTCTTGACACCTGCCAGGGACCTTGGCCTTCTTGTATCTCCACTGACCTAGGTGGTCTCTGTCTTTGCAGATTCACACTATAATTCTTCCTTAACCTCAGAGGCAATCTTGGGGGTTCCTAAGGAATTTCCGTCTTGTGGGTACTTCTTGATATGCACTGTGCTGGGACCTTGTAGCCTGCCACGACTGGGTGAAGCCTAGTGACCAGCAGCTCCAGCCATCAGGGCTAGAGGGACTCCAGATATGTGACACTGGGCAAGTGATGTCACCTCCACCTTGTTACATCTTAGCTTCCTTATCTGTAAGGCCCAGCTAATCACCTTGCTTCACAGCATTGTTGGCATGACTGATGTTCACAAAACACCAGTCACCCAGTAAAGGTTTGGGCGACACTGACTGGGATGGTGGCTGTGACTTGTTTAAGGATATCAGGCTTAAAATAGAAAGATCTGTGTGAATATGGCTGCATCCTTTCCCAATATGGACCCTGTTCCCACACATGTAAACATGGGATAAAGCTTACTTCCTTCCTCCAGATGAATGGGAACAGTACATGAAGGAGTATCTATAAACGTGGGTCAAACTGTAATAGGGATAACAGCCCACTGGCTCCTTTACTTGATCCCATTTCAACCTCATAACAGCTCTTTGCAGTTGCTATTATTAGCCCCACTCTACAGATACTGATCATGAGGTACAAGGAGGTTCAGGTCACACCAGGGAAGTGACAGGGCTTGGATCTAACTAGGCCTGCTAGGAGTCTTGACCTCCAGTCTCACAAGGGCTCAGAGAAATTTTGTTCCTGTCTTCAGAGCTCACCACATACAAAGTTCTACGTCCATTGTTTCATTTGACTATCATAAGCACCTAGTGTGCAAGCCAGACAGGAACATGAGCTGGAGCTCAGAGGGAGCAGTGTCTAAACCCGCACTCTTGCCCCAAACTAAGGAACCCTAACACAGTCTTCTAAGTTCCAGTCAAGTGTTCAAACTGTCTCCATCTGAGTGTGACCCTGTGATATTGTCCCTGTCACTTCATCATGAAGGGCAGGAGCCAAGGAGCCAGGGCTGGAGCAGAGAAGGCTGAGAGGGTTATGGGGTCAGAGGGGAAACAGGGATGAATTTTGTAAAGTTGGGCCAGAGGAGGGAAGTAGACCAAGATGAAGCTGATGTGAGCTGGCGTGGTGGCAGACTAGAAGCAGCCAGA